AAATTAAGCGCCGGTGATTTCTTCCACGCAGTCGTTCAACGCCTGATTTCTATAGGTTATTGACCTCAAAATACAGAGTTGAGCTCACGGCAGCTCCTGGTTCTGTTATGGTTACAAGGTAAACATAACAATAAGCCGAAGGAAACCGTGCTACTTGTTAACAAGTAAGCTATATCCTAGGATCTTGGGGGGGTGGGGGGGGGGGGGGGGGGGGGGGATCACCGTAAGATGGGCTTTTGTCAACCTTGTGTTCCCCCTTGGCAAGGTTCTGGCTACGCTCCTGCCTACACAAAAGCAGATCAAGTCGTATATGTTGCATGATGGGCAATGAAGCATCCGTTGGGCCAATTCACATCTAAGACGGATAGCTTCCCGGGGCTATTTTCTGCGATGGTGTGGTGTGAGGGAAGATAATTCTGAAAAAAAATACCGTTGCAGGTGTCCAACACATGTTTCATACCCATGTAGTAGTAACGCTGATCCAAAGTATGCAAATAAGTAGCCATACGATCAGTTCGCAGTCAGTCATGCGGGAGGCACCCGGGCCCGGGCAGTGACCACAGACGGCGGACAGGAGCAGGGCCAGATAGGGAAACATGACAGATGAGCCTTATTATGTGGCTGGATTCTTAAAAGAGAATCCCCAGTTTTATGGCTTTTGTCACATTGTTTCTAGCAGTTTCAAGCAACCGAATTTGTTTCCGCTCTTAAATGCTGCGACAAATCTTATCTCTTGAAAGCAGCCAGCGAAATGAAGGCGCATGAAAAATTTGTCGCACTGTGAACCATCGATCCACTTTCAAAATTCTCACCAGCCTATATCCAGGCCGTTTGGCATCTACGCTGTGGAGGCAGATTTCTCAATGACCCAAAACGCCTACCTGCTCGTGGAATTTCGCCTCCTCAGGCAAGACAATGTTAAAATAGACGAATAATCTAAGGAAGCTGGATAGCCTTATTTGCCAATGACAGATGAGTCGAATAGGCAAGATTGTGCACGAGTGAGAAACAGCTAGCATATCTAGCATAGCAGCCATTACATTTGAAAAAAGCGATAACAACCTCCATCCCTATCCCACCCTCCCCCGGTCATCGGGCTCGCTTTACAGAAAGCGTTTCTGAAGTACACCCTGAGTTTGCCCCCCCCATACTTTTTGAAACGTTCCTACGCCTATAAGTTATCAGCTACACCCAGACCAATCAAATCTAACAAGTTCATTATGTGGCATGGACAACTGAGAGATAATCACGTTTCCCCCAAAACCCCTCAGAGGATTCGTCGTTATCGGAAGCGGCTTGACCCAAGATGGACGATCCTAGGATAGAAATACAGATCCCATTTGCCATTGGATAACACCCGCGCGATGTCACGGTCGCCATGCTCGGAATTGTGCATTTGTGTTGGCTCACCAGCTGGATTCGCTACATTTTTACGCGATCTGTCTTATCTTGGTTGCCTCCGATTCTGTTCAGGAATTGACACATGCATGAATAGCATCTGCTGTTCATGTTCTTGTCCAAATTTAGGCACACATCCACGCCAATCAAGTCGCAGCTGACAAATATAGACACTTAAAAAAGATCAAACTCATACCAAGTTACTTTACGGGACGAATTTCTTTTTTACAAACCTAACGGCCTGTTTGGCCTCACCTCTCTGACCTTTCTGATGTTTTAAAAGCGGCTTTTCGCTCATTTTTGGTTTCTTTTTCCCATCTAAGAACGGTTGCCGCCCCTTAGCATGCTTGGCCCTATACAGAATGCATGCATTCGCCGCGGCCCCGATCTCTGCCTGAGGCGTTTCATAGGACGCTTGTCGGGCGTCAGCTGCCGGCAAATCAAGTTTTCACTGGGGAGAAGGGGGGGGGGGATTTGATGGTCACACTGGTGGGGGTCACTTCACTCTCCCCCAGTGAATCTGTTGAGATTGTCCCTAGCAAGGTACCAGACATTACCATGGTGTGGTTTGCAGCGGCTTCATTAAGTCGCGCCCCAAAAGGGGTCGATGCGCCTCCTAGGGTAACCTGAGGATATCTCGCCGGCTTGTCTCAAATGTTTGGGAGCCTATCAGACACTCATTGTTCACATTTTAATAGGAAAAACACGTCTCTGGCCTTCGTGATTCCGAGCAGTGACGGCTGTTTTAAAAACACTGCAATGCGATTCACGGCCGACCGGAGCGGGCGGCGGGCAGCAACCGACGAATCAGCTGATCACGCACGGTGGGCCGACGTTGTCACATTAACGGACTCCTTTATCATGCATATAGGCTTTAAACACACAAAATTACAAACTGATGTGCTCCAAAACAAACATGAAACACACCTGCGTGAGTTGTATGTCGATGCGTAGCACGGGTATGCAGGTGTGGATATGTGAATCTGAAAAGTGCGAAAAGTTTCGGAAAAGTCGTTTTGTCTGACATAATTGGGCATATCATTGATCTTAAAGTCCGACATATTGTTAAATTTGGAGATTTCGCGAATACCAATCCACTGTTTGTTTTCACGAGGCTTTATCGCTCTTAGTTTGGAAACGGCAGTAAGGCGAGAGGGCATCAACCTCCACCCCAGCCCCATCAGACTACGTAGTGAAAAACGATGAGGCAGGACGAGGGTTAAAAAACAATATTTTTACTACCACGCACTACCATGATTCGTATTTTCAGTGACCAATAACCTGATAACTAACGACGTGTTACACGCTCAGTAAGCCCCTTTCACTACAAAACAGTCAATTGTTCCGAAATGCTGGCCTCGGGCGACATGAGGGCTGGGTGACATCATTAATATGGGGCCATCGGCCGGGCGCTGCTCCGCTTCACAGCATGCCGCCGTACAAAGCCGGGCTGAGCGGCTGTTGACCTCGGTCGCCCCGAGTGGTGCGGCGCGGCGCTGAGAGGCGACCGGCAAGCCTTTCAACCGTCCGCTGACGGACAACGTGGCGCGTTCTTAAACCAACTAAGTCAATACTTTACACCCAGGCGTCACCGGCTCCCGCAGAGCCGACTGGCCGGGGCCACACCGTCGTTAATGTGATGGAACTAGGAACCTGTGGTGCGCGTTTTTCGGCGATCACTGTCAAGGTCCGGCGCTAGTCGGTCGGTTCGCTCGCCACCGCGGCTGCCACGTGGGTCAGTGAGAGCTCAGGCACCATCAACACGCTGCAATAAACAGCCACAAACGCGTAAATAAATGCAAAAAGCAGAAATGCATACCAGTTTCAGATAGCATAAGGAACTTACCTGCATTATATTGTTTCTTAGCTGCTTGGCGGAGCTATGTCGACCTGTGTGATTCTTGGTCGATGAATTTGGTATTTCGAGGCCAGGACGTGAGATAACTTTTCTAAATCGACATTTTTCAACACCGGTATCTCCACGTGTGGCTGGCGTCCAGCTCCCCTTGACTTCAGCCGCATTACGCACGGTGGAGTGGCAGATAAGGCATGGCTTCTCTAGTGATGTTGATGCGGGAATTGGCTCATTGCCTCAGAATAATGGATTTAGACATCATTTCAACTTGGCAGCGAACAGGAAATAAAATCGTGTTCGGCATTTATTTTATCCGTTGCAGAACACAGGTTGCCACGATGACTTAACAGGCTGACGGAAACGCAAAACAATGCCTCATCATCAACGTAAAAGAAGTTGCATGCTACATAATATGTTGTTGCTCTGATCTGAACTCGGAAGCCATTCCAGTCAGATATAAGGGGCTCTTCTGTCCAAGGCCAGCGGTGACTAGGCATACCGCATGCGCCTTCCTGGCGTCTTGGAATGATCATGCCGTAGGACTGTGACGTGATGGATTGTATTGCATCTGTGGCGAAAACATACCTTTAAAAAGAAGAGCACGAACATGCACATTTGCATTCGCTCTTGATAATACATTGCTTGCTAAGCAAAACGAGTCACACCTATTGCTGATATGTACTTCTGGCGACTTGAGCTGCCGCGGGTGTCCGACTAATCAAGATAAAATAAGATCATCTGAAAGCTTGTCAAGACAAGTACAAGTTTTGTACTTCGCGCCAAACGTGTGCAACGTCGAAAACGTACTCTCTAAAACAGGGCAACGGAGAGGGGGCCATCATGGCTCACTCACTTTTCGTGAATGTTTAACATTAATCGTGGGGTACAGAACAATCTACCTCAAACTTCGGGCAGACGCGTTACTTTTTAAAACGTCCTACCCTCACGGTCGTAACAAACGAACACCCATGAACAACAAAACGAGTACCTAATAAACAGCACCTATCGACATGTAAAGTTGTAGCCATTAAAGCGTGACAGCTACCCAACACGAACGCATTTCAGCACGCTACCAAAGGCGTGATTGTCGGCGGACAGAAGGCTTAGAAGACGCCGGCCATTTTATAGATATACATTATCTCGGCATAGTCTTACCATGGGATTCGCTTTGTGAAACCCGCATCAGCGTTACACACTGCAGGCAAAAACAAGAGAATGCGAAATTTACAATACGATAATCTCCAGCACTACAAGTTCAAATGAGCTTGTGCTTAGGACAGATGGAAAACCTGCAAAACGACATCGCGCAATCATGGTTTATAGCAATGCCGAGATCGGATTGGAAAATCGTAGGCACACAGAACAAATAATGCAAGCAAATGACCGAACTGGTGGTGGATGCTGCTCGCAAACGGTCACGTATGCCACAAAAAGCTGCTTGAAAAACATAATGCTAACATATGTGACTACACACTGTTTACGTTGCCAACTGCCGGACACATTTACCTCGAGCAATTATATCGAGACGTACGAGTTTTTCGGACGCAAAAAGTTTATTAAAACTAGACATAACACGCTGAGATCCCTTGAACGATGAACGTGTTATACATGCATGCTTTTTACTATACGCGGCAAGATATCTTAAGGAGTTCAAAAACTACATCCGCGTGGCGAGCTGCGACGCTGGGCAGCCATGGGTCGCTATTTGTGGGGGGTTCAACGCTAGCTTTTTGGTGAATGAGCGCAAACAAGGTTTCAAGGGACTTTGATCAACTAATTTTCGTGGACCCTCCTCACCGCCAGAGTAAAAATCCGATGCTAACCGTCGTTACATGAGCTAAAGCCACCAAGAGATAAGTTCCCCGTAACGGATAAAATTCTGGGACGATGTCGCAAGTCGGACAACATCGGAGGAGGGGTGGGGGAGGGGGGATTTAGGGATGCATGTTATCCAGGTGTTCGTCGAAGTTGATCCATGCTACATGACTGGTGTTTTTCTTCGGGGGCTTCGAAGTTTTGTTGGAATCTTCAGTAACCGTAACTGGGACTGAAAGTGCAATGCAAGGATGTTAGACATGTGTATAAGCTCATGGTACACGGTGCGATATGGTAACTAAAATATACACTTATCTAAGCTTGTTGGTTACCGCTACACCCCTGCCATTCGATCGCTTTGGCTACCTATCTCATATAACCATAGCCACACGGTGGGTGAGAAGCCATTTGGAGCTCAACGCAAATTGGATTCTCGGCGCGCGTTGTTACTTAACAATTGTGTTCAAAATGTTCGCACTTTTGCATTCACCCGCTTTCTCCAAAAGCTAAGGGTAAACAATGAGATTTCCGAAGCCGAAAGCAAAAAGCACATTGATGCACCGACATCGGACAAAACCAGCTATCAAACGATGGATTTGGCACGAAAATGTTGCGAATGGAATGACTGTGTTACGTTTCAGGTCCGAGGAGTCTACTTGAATAATGAAAGCATTTCTTCCGGATACTTTTCCGCACCTGGAACTCTTGACCAAAATGTGTTGTCTGGGAAGAGAGTTACCAGCATATTCAGATCTATTCCAAGACTTTTCGTAGAGATAGGCGTTCGACGATAAAAGCAGGCAGAAGGCTGCCAGGCGCCCCGCCAGCTGGTGTCGCTATTGCAAGGCTCTGCACTCTCACCCGGACCGGTCGATCCGGCTCCAAATGAAGGCCATTTAAGCTAACGGGAGTGTCCACCTTTGAGGAATATCTCAAAAACGTGCTGTGGTGAAACCTCAGAACCAGTTTGTCTGATAATGACGCTGGGTAGTGCTACCGAAGTACCATCAAAATATGATGAAGAGATATATTTCTAATTATTTTTGGGTCCAAGTTATGTTGCCAACATTTGGTAACAGCGCCACGCTTCTCCCTTTCTTGGTTCCCCAGAGTGCACCCGGAGTCCGGAATAACTGCAGCTATTGCGACCGCCGTAGTTATGACGACGGCAAAATCTGTTGAGGGCCGTTGTCACCTGTTACGGTTTAGATATGTCACTTTTGAGTTACTTTAACCAGCACCTTGCGAGTTTGCGGGCTTAAACGTGGCGCCTCTACTGGTTTGAATGAAACCAGTACAAATGGACGCTTGCGATTGGCACAGCGGGCGGCAAGGACCAATTGCGGAGAAGCTCATTGGTTGGAGTCTGAACTAGCTTGCCACTATAGGCCATATAATATCCCGTTTTCCAAAGTTAAAAAGCATTTCGAAAAGAGCAATTGCACCAAACGATATAACAGAGAAATCAAAGCCATGCTATAAAGTTTCGTTGAAGTCGCGGAATAATAGCCCTACATTTGTATCTCTTGTAAAAATGCTTTAATCTTTCCCAGCATTTACCACGCACACATCTTTACAAAGTAGCATGTTGCAAACAGTGTAGAACCCATGCGTTAAAAAGCAAGGTAAGTTAAATGTATTGCTTTCAAATTAGTCAGCAAGAAGTCCAATAAGACTTCTTCCGCGGAGCGACTACTTCAAACCAAAATTCTGACATGTTCAGAAACATTGCGAGAAAACTGGTACAATCAATCCAATTGACGCGTCTCAGGTAGTAAGTGACAAGTACAAAACAGGTTGGATGCTCCGTTTAAGGTGGATGGCAAACCCATTTTCGAAGCATTCGAGTGCACTTCTTGTTGATGCAACTGCACGGGAGCTACTCTCATCGACATCAATACGAAATTTAAGCGTCTCTCAAAGTTCAGTGCCCTGGAACATTTGGTGAAAGGGTTTTGATCGGCAGTCGTCGGTAGACGTTAAGAAGACAAGATTGCCGTTGATCCCACGGCCAATAACGTATCAGCCATTTGCAGTGAATAGCGACCAGTGCTCCTCAACTGTCCGCATCTGTTCAGGGCAGTGACCACCGCTGGCTTCTGCAGAGCTGGCATACCAATGGGCTCGGTGCGTGATCCGAACGCGCTCCGCCGTGCCGATGACACAAAGGACGCCTCCGCCACTGAGCCACGCGGGTGGCTTATCCTCTGCCGCAGTTTTTGTAGGAGCGTCATGTGCCCTGGAAGTTAGACAGACCCGTCAGGCCGATGCTGGTGCTGATTGACAGCGTTGATTTTTGATGGCTCTCAGTCGTAAAGCGGCGTGATAGAGAATAAGACAATTACGCTATAGCGTAGGCCACAGTCCACTCGATGTGCAGAAGCCTAAATGAAGCCATGGTCACTTATTTAACGACTTTGATATCGATTCATTGAAAAATTAAGTGAAGCGGATTCGGAGAAACTGAGAATTATAGCTCTCATTTCTGAACGCTACACGAGGCTCATAAAGCGCAGTGGCTCCAATCACCATCGACCACTGGATAACACCGTAGGAACCCACCATTTACTGGTAACACAGCCAGACAACTGCCGGCGAAAGGTCGGCCCGCTGGGCTGACACCTCGACGGCACCGGGGCCACCTACCGAGGTTGGAGCCGACCTCCGGCGGCAGGTCGAGCTCCTTGAGCCGCTCGTCAACCTCCGAGTGACGCCGGAGCGCCGACACGGTGCGCGAGAGACCCAAGCCCGGGTGTCGGATGCCGTGCTCAACGAGGTCGGCGCCCAGCAGCTCCTCGTGCGTCGTCATTCGGATCGGCTTCAGCTTGTTGATGCAGAAGAGCAAGACGAACGTGACGATGGCTGACCAGGAGATGATGCACGCGCAGGTCAGGGCCTGCACGCCGAGCAAGTGCCAGCCGCCGCCTGTGGACGCCCAGCATGGCTGATGACGGCGTCGCGCGCGCGGCACAGGGGACGGAACGCCGTCTCAGCAGATGACACAGCACCCCGAGAATGTGGCAACGCGGCCACTGTTCTGGCAATGCTACGAGGAAAACATACAGGAGATTCACCCGTCTCCGCGTTTTTTTTTTCAGCGAGACCTCACCAAATTGTTGCGGCTACAACTGAAACTTTGGTTACCTCTTGCCATTCCATCTGACGTACTCCAGCAAAATGTTGGCACCCTGCGTTGCCAAGGGCGTCTGCTAACTGATTTGTCGGAAAATGGTTCGAACAAATACCATTTTAGTACGAGACATGCATTAACAAATTATTTCCAACAGAAAGGGTATATTTGACAAAGCAATTGTTTCATATGACATAGCTAAAAACAAAGCATTTGCCACGTAAGCTGGATCATTTAGATTGCTATTGACGCACGCAGAGGGTATGCAAAAGGGTAATACCATGCTGGATCGATGTTAGTTTCATTGCCGAAATCAATGCACGTTTTCTCAATGCACGTATGTTAGTTCTTAGTCTATTGCCGGCCCAATGCTCGATGATAAATGCGTTATGTATTGCGAAGCGGATGAGGGAGCTAATGCAAAAGTGCCGATACCATCACGGCATACTTAAGCCGTACAGATGGCCGCGTCAAGTAGCAGAGCTGGTGCACTAGATACATGTTTGGTGTTTTAATGAAGAGATTGCCTCTGACGTGGCCGGTCCGCGGTCTGCCGCGTGGTTGCCGTCAGGAGTGGACAGCTGGACCTCGCGCGGCCGCTGCGGCCCGAGCACCGCTGGCTGCCCACCTTTGAAGAGGCCCGCGCGCCCGTTGGTGATCTTCTCCAGGCTGTCGGCGTCGACAAACAGGCCGATGGCCAGCACGCCCCAGAGACCGCTGACGCCGTGCACGGAGACGGCGCCCACCGGGTCGTCGATGTGCAGCCGGTCGACGAGCGGCATGGTGATCACGGCCAGCATGCCGCCGATTATGCCGACCACCACCGCCTCCCAGGAGCGGTAGAGCGCGCAGCCGGCTGCAGCGGCCGCGGCGCGCGGGGTCACGGGCAAGACGCCGCGGCGTTCGGAGGTCACAGGATGGTTGCCGCAACGCGCGGAGGTCGCAGGTTACCGCGACCCCGCAGTACGCGGGGTTGCGGGCCAGACGCCGCGGTGCGCGGGGTCACAGGCCAAACGCCACGACGCGCGGGGTCACAGGGCGGCCGCCGGGCGGGGGCCAAGGGATGACTGAGCGGGCTTCATCCGTTCACCACCGCACAACGTCGGCAGGGCGACACGGTCGCGCAGTGTTTTTGTGACGTGGTCGAGCCAATAGCCAAATTTGCTTTCGGGGTTGTATAAGGACACTGGTTACAGCAAAACGAAGACATTCTTCCAGCTATACACCGACCTATACGTTGGATACAGGGAAATATATTACTAAGTCATGCCGTTGCTTTCGATGCAGGAAGATACCGTGTCTGACCATCTGGCTCACGAAGGATATTATGCATATGAAAACGTCGATTGGGCTATGTTTTACGCTCGTGATAGGAAACAAAAATGATCTCGATGCATTTCAAAAGGTGTTGAATGGGATGTGAGCATTTCAGGGTACCTGTGACGGCCACCAGTCCTCCCAGAATGCTGTTGATGAGGTCCCCGACCATCAGCTTCTTGGTGGTGGCCAGGCTGTACGTCATGCCAAAGAGGCCGCCGCCCAGTGAGGCATTGATGGTGGTGACGGCGGAACGAGCGGCGTACTTCCACTTGTGTCCGCGTACTCCGAAGGAGCTGCCGGGTTCGCCGGTGACTGTCACGTAACCTCACACCACGTACACCAAAGACACTACATGCCATCTCACTGCATTTACAACCTCAGATCGCTTCGAGATGAAGCGGATGCACATGCACACATAACTGTCGTTTGCTGAAGGTGTGGAGAATATAAACGATCTCACAAAAATGCCTCGGCTGTATTCACATGACCCGACAGCCCGCTGGTGTGTCTGGACGTTTCCGCCCTGATGTCGATGGGTCTGCCCCGCTCCCGAGGCCGGTGAGTTTGCCCCGCTCCCGCAGCCGATGGGTCTGCCCCGCTCCCGCAGCCGATGGGTCTGCCCCGCTCCCGCGGATGGTGGGTCTGCCCCACTCCCGAAGCCGGTGGGTCTGCCCCACTCCCGCAGCCGATGGGTCTGCCCCGCTCCCGAGGCCGGTGGGTCTGCCCCGCTCCCGCGGCCAGTGGGTTTGCCCCGCTCCCGAGGCCGGTGGGTCTGCCCCGCTCCCGCGGCCGGTGGGTCTGCCCCGCTCCCGAGGCCGGTGGGTGTGCCCCGCTCCCGAGGCCGGTGGGTGTGCCCCGCTCCCGAGGCCGGTGGGTGTGCCCCGCTTCCGCGGCCGGTGGGTGTGCCCCGCTCCCGCGGCCGGTGGGTGTGCCCCGCTCCCGCGGCCGGTGGGTCTGCCCCGCTCCCGAGGCCGGTGGGTGTGCCCCGCTCCCGAGGCCGGTGGGTCTGCCCCGCTCCCGAGGCCGGTGGGTCTGCCCTGCTCCCGCGGCCGGTGGGTCTGCCCCGCTCCCGCGGCCGATGGGTCTGCCCCGCTCCCGAGGCCGGTGGGTCTGCCCCGCTCCCGCAGCGCTCTCGCCGTCTCTTCAGCCGTCTCGCAGCGCTCCGCAGCTTCTCACCTGCCGCAGTTGAAGCCCAGCCAGCCCCACCAGAGCATGAACATGCCAAGCATGGCGTTGGTAGGGCTGCCCATGGGGAACTGCTCGTGGCCTTGGTCGTAGCGGCCCAGGCGTGGCCCTACCATGATGCACGCCACCAGACCTGCGGCGGTCACAGCTGCTGAACACCGGACACCTCTTCACCGCACTCACTACACACTTTCAAATACGTTTAGCATGGTCGAAGTTGAGGCCTTCGATGTCAATAGCAATGAATCAGACATGAGGCGTTTTTATGCAAGGGGGGAATTTACAGGGATACCCCTTCGGTCTGCATATGTGTGCTGCCTTTGGTCCCAATGTGGAGTCAAGCACATGGCCTTTGCGTTCAGCTACTGGTTTGTCTTTTAATCTGCTTATTTATTTGAAACTATATTTGTATTCGAATGTGTTTGCCATTTTTGGGGTCTACGTGAAATGCAAATGCACAGTAGAGAAAATGCAAAACGCTCCTATCTAATTAAGGCGTGGAAAACAATTTTAACGGATGCCATTCTGGGACCAAGCGTTGTTTGCCTTACGGCCGGAAAACATTTAATCAGTGAAATCGGACCAGAACCGAGAGGCACCATCTGGTGACACTTTGGGTGGCCGTCGCCAACCCAGCACCATGCCTGGACCTCGGAATGTGCTGCTGTGTCGAAAGAAACTCGACCCTCCATCCGAACACGTAAGCACGCGTCCGAGGACGCTGAAGCCGCCGTGTGGGTATGTAGGGGCAGAAGGAGGGGGACGGGTTCATTAACTTAAACGTTTTGTGCGCTTTAAGGGAATGTTTCATGTTTGAAAATATTGAAGCAAGCATCACATATGATGAAATAAGCTCACTTATATCCATAAGTATACGTTTGAGTAGAAAAGGCTGCTCTCGGCAACCCAATTTCGCTATTTAGTCAATATGCTCACCAACACGTCAGTGCTTGATTACGTAAATCACTTTGCACAACATTGATTGAGAGCCAATTGGCGGCCGTTCTATCTGGAAATCGCGCTCACGAACGCCAGATAAGAACAACTCGAGCCATTTTTCTTTGCCTGGATCGCCGCATGGCCAATGGAATTACGTGATTTGAATAAGGTTATTATGTCGCCCTGGATGTCTGGGTGACCTTGAAATAGTCTCCCCGAAATAAGCTGGACGTCTTCGCGGGCGTGTAGCTTAGAAACAAGGCTAATATCTCAAGAATGGCAGGGGCAGGACAGGGCTCAGATGTTAAGAAGGGCAGGGCTTGAACTTCACCGAATTATCTTCAAAATGACCATTTCAGATAAAAAACATGCTAGAAATGTGGAACACTCCCTTTAGGCATCAACCCAACAGCCTTGCATGCAGATGATTACTTTTGAACAGCTGTATGCTTCCGTTTTCGAGAAATTCTCATTCGTTAAATGTCGATTTGAAGCCGAAAGCGTAGCTTGATACATCATGTATAATAACAATTTAACTCTGTAAAATTGCCATCAGTTCCGAGATGACCGCGGATACGAGCGCTGCACTCGCGGGAGGGGTACCGCGATGGAGCACGTGGCAGTGTCTAGTCCCCCTCCCCCTCAACCTCCAACCGAAGCTGAGACTGACCGGAGACGCCGCCGACGAGATGCACTCCTGCAGAGCCGGCTATGTCGATGGCACCCATCTTATACAGGAAGCCGTGCTGTCCCCACAGCCAGCCAGCCGGCACGCAGTACACGATCGTGTTGATAAAGGAGAACATGCAGTAGGCCATGAAGTTGAATCTGCAGCACACACGAGCACAGGTGACCAGTGGTCGGAGTTGGAGATATGGCCTAAACACAGAAGGTGTAAAACATCATCTCATCTAAACAAATTCCAGGGGTCCCGCCAAAAAAAATATGTTTTTCTCTCTTTCTGGAGGCGAGCAAATGCCGCAAAATAGAACAGCGTTATGTCCAGATGAGTAGCTTTAGCGCTTCTGCCTATTAATGCGCAGTGCAGTATAGTTGCAGAACGAAATTTCCGGCGATGCTTCTAAGCCCGAAAGCACCATCGATAAACGTAATTTTGAAAATAGTGCCTGGTTGTATGCTTTCGGGCAGAACCAAAGATCTACCATAGTGAAAAAGTCGGGGAAACGTGCAAAACGAGCCTTTGATAATGTAGAAACAGCAATTTTCCTGCGCAGAACCAACAAACTCTTGCGGCGGTTGCAGCAGGAGCTCGCTTGTACCCAAAGCACGGCCCAGAGATGGGCAAGAACTGATAAGACGACTGCTCCTTTATGAATTAATAGCCGACAGGGCGCGGACCATAGCTGACAAAACCTGCGCGTCACAAACGTTATTTGTTTGACATTAGACAGTGTGTGACTGACGCCGCCCACTCATTTGAGCCGTCTGGTTTCAGGCTCTGAGTTTGAATGCCACTTCTAACACGCACGCTTAGAGGCGTTTTAAAAGTAAAATCGTAACAGGAAGACGGTGGTGGCAGCACGGTTTGAGGCGTGAGAAATGCATTCCCAGTAACTTTCAAAAGGTAGCGAACTACCCCCCCCCCCCCCCCAAAACCTCAGAAACCCGGCATTGTCAAAAGCATGCACCCGTGTAGCTAGAAGGCACAACACATTACACAGAACGTTTCACGTACTTGACATGACTCTTACAATTTTATGGAAATAGCAGACCGAACACACTATACGCGGGTACTCTCGATGGGAAGCTCCACCCACGGCCAACAAGCCAGCGCGCGCTCGTCACGTCCGCTTTTTAATATCTCTCCCGCGCTGCCCCGTTTCTCGGCAGCTGTTCCGCGGGGCAGAACTTTGCGTTTCTTTGCTGGGCTATGAGCCTATGACCCTCAGTGTTGAGTGCCCCCCCCCCCCCCACACACACACCACCCTTCCCCCAGTGGTGGGTTTGGCCTCGGAAACAGGACAATGATGCAATGCTTAACAATACTAAGCCCCCGATCGCTTTCACCTCGCTGAAAAAATAACTAAAAAAACTGCAAAAGCAAAACAAAAAAACTATGTGCGCATGTGCAGGCGCTTACAAGTTTTTGAAACAATGGTCTGCTAAAATAGTTATTTCCAAGGATTGGTGTACTTTGTGGTGACTATGTGTGTAATGCTCTTCGCAAATGCACTCCACGACTTACGTAATTTTGTCACTCATATGCCATCACAGTTTAACTGTGCGCCAAATCAACTTGTCATTGTTGCGTATACCGTGGGTTATCTTTCAGCTGGGGCACCCTCTACCTTATACGTTTCTTACCGAATGGTCTCAGTCCGCCAGTGTTTTCTCTTCATCTCAAAATGCATTAGTGGAATATATTGTTGACTTATGTGACTTGTTCTTCCTTTACTTTTTAAATGTCAGTGACCATAACATTGTTGCCAGTATTAATTAGAAAATTATCTTTCAGATCCAAAAAAGTTAAGATGCGTATAGGCCATGCCATTGAGCGGAGAACCCCGTGGTCAGCGCCATGGAGTGAATGACGCGTCAGATCGATTCTGCACATGTGGCCGTGGAGCGGATGGCACGCCAGATCGACTCTGGACATCTGGCCGTGGAGCGGATGACGCGCCAGATCGACTCCGGACATCTGGCCGTGGAGTGGATGACACGCCAGATCGACTCCGGACATGGCCGCCGTCACCTCCATAGACCTAAGTCGAGCTTTCGACGGCGTTGATCATGGCGTCCTGCTGACCAAGCTGCAATGGCACGGCAACGGTCCTCGATCGTTCAAAAGCTACCTTGACGGACGGCGGCAGGTGGTGAGAAGTGGTTCACTAGGCCTACCCTAGTCGACACGCCCCAGGCCATCAAACAACTCATCATTTTATCTTAATATTAACTCCCTCGCTGTCCGTCAAGATGATGAGAGTGAACATCGGCCATACCCTATCCTGGGATGAGCACATATCCAAATTAGCCAAAAAGCCCAACTTGCTAAGCCCCGCGACCACATCGGCGTCTTCAGGGCCCTAAATGCGCCCCCCCCCCTTTCCTGCCCCGATGGCAGTCCACTCGCTGTTAACGCCTCGGACCGCTGTGAGCGAGCACACCTCTCGGTCGGCGGTGACCGGCGCTTTAGAGCTCTCCCCTTTCCGGCTGCCCATGTCGCGTAGGACGCTTTCATATCGGGCGGCCTCGTCCTGGAACCACACGCCGTCGCCGCCGTTGTGACATCCCGGAGACGTACTGCGCTCATATCTCAGCTTGACCAATGTGAAAAGAGGGCTTTGTTTGAATTTGTAGGTCTTTCTCAAGCCTTTGACATGTTTTCATCATCGCCTCATCTTTGCTTTTATCTTGTAACTCGTAATCCGTCGACTCCAATGAAACATTAAGCCATACATATGGAACGATTCGTGGTAAATGCATGACATGACTTGCCAATTATTTTCCGCTAAGAAATCAACATGTCCGAAAACAACGAAAAACCCTTTAGCTCCTGGCACTTAGCAAGCGGAGATGCGGTAAGGGCCGGAGGCCGAAAACATGTCAGCATTTGGCTTGGCAGTTTTAGTCAAGAAATATAATCACGGGGTTGTTAGACACCACTCTTTGACATAAATCCCAGTTGCCTATCATTCAAACTATGTTGATGGGAGATGAAGTACTTTCCTTACTCAGGTAACCACTGAACTCGGTATCTGAACAGTCAGCAAGCGGTCTTTTTAGTTTTAGTGATCCTTAATCCTTACGATCCGTTTGGGCTGAAAAACTGTAAAATCCCTTTGCAGTGGTTTTTGTCCTTGCAAACCATGTGGGCTGAGAAATTCCGACATCCTATCCAGTCCTAATCCGTGTTTTTGACGTTCATTCACAATCCGTTCCAATCCAGCGCATGGGTAAGCCCGCAGTTCGCGGACGCACTCGATTCGTGAGGTGCCGTGGTACCCACCTCTCGGCGATGGCCCCCGACACGATGGTTGTCGCTGTAGTCGCGAAGGACAGCTGGAATATATACGTGGCGAACAACGGTCCCATGTCCTGTGGACAACCAACAGTCACCAAACGTCAAAACGTGCGCGGGATGCGGTGGTTCATCTCGGTGCTATTTCACCCACTCGCCTTCTGGTTATGTAACATATCATTATGTAGGAGACGCGATATCTCATGCAGCACAAACCACAACAAGGTAACGCATTTCCATTGGCGTGGCATTAAGCCATCCCACACGCTGAGGGTTGGAACAGATTCCAGGTCCCCAGCGGCTACCACATGGATTGTACATCGCTTCTAATGTTTGGCATTCAGGTCCCAGTGTGTTCCATCTCTTTTCAATGAGCCTTGTCGTTCCCGTGAGCTGTGTGATGCTTTCTAGTGCGCTGCACTCAGGCCCGACGGTCTACGTCCCGTGTTCCGGTGACCTATGCGTTGTGTCCCAGCGAGTTTTAGCTACAGTTCGGCGAGCTTTTTCACTGTCGTGTCCCAGTGGCTGTATGCTGTGTCCAAGTGGCTGGATTCTGTGTCACAGTGTATTGTGTCCCTGATTCCATGATGAGCTATGTCCCAGGTTACAGTGGCTGCATGTCAATGCCCACGGTGGACTTGCTTCAATGATATGTGTTCCAATTCCTGGTGCTGTGTTCCGGATCCCAGTGGCAGTGAGCTAAATCCTGGGTCCTGATGACCCATAGCCTGGGGGTCCGTGCGCTCATTCTCCTTGATCTACCAGTGACTAGCTGCAGGACGAAGAGATGCAATACCTGCTCTGGTGCGGAGACGGCAAAGTCTCCTGCCGCGAACAGTATGTTGGAGTAGGCGGTGCCGAAGCTGAGGCCGTAGCCGAACACCCAGTAGGATAGACCCCCGAGGATGACGTCCACCGCGTTCTTCACCATGATGTTGACCTCGTTCTTCAGTGATACGCACCCCGACTCTAGGAGACCAAAACCTGCGACACCCGAGCTTCGGTTCTATAGGCGCTCGTAGCTCCATCCAGATCACGCGGGACGACAGAACGAAAACTTAGTGACATAGCCAACAAACGTAGCAACTGGGGCAAGGTATAAAGACTGGGACGATTAATGAGCTTTAGCTAAGAGAGCAAAGTTATCAAAGATTGTGTCGTTATTATAGTTATGTACATTTCTGCTCCCAACAGATATGGTTTTGCAGGGGCTGATTGCGGATTCATGGCAGCGAAGATATTATGTCACCTCATCAGCCAAGGTAAACACCTACGAGGTTAAAATTAGAGGACTGCTTCAATCAGCTGTAACTGAAAAGTTCATTATCTTAATGCTGAGTCCGGTTAAAGCACGAGCATGCTCATCTCCGTGCTATCAAGCTAATGATTGCAGAGTCCTGATGCGTCATATATACATATATATATATATATATATATATATATATATATATATATATATATATGTGCTTAAAGATTTTGCGCGAAAACCTATGCTCATTTCGTCACAGTATGTGAGTATTGGACGACCCCTGAAGACGAAGAGCTGGAATATTGTCCAACAAGGCGCCTCTATGTCCGAAAAGACCAGAATGAGTCAGGCACTGCCGCCAGAAGCATAGCTGAGAGATAATTGTATTACGTCACTCGACCCCTCGACATGCCTTAAAGCATTTGTTACCAGCTATCAACTACCAGTTCTGTACTGGGACGTATGACGCTATTTAGCTGAACGGAGCACCCATCAAAACACTGATAATAAGTAGTAGTTGAACTAGTAGTGAAGCTACATGGTAAAACATTTCCTGTTACCAATAACACCAGCCCTTCCATCGCGAAGCAGTGGAAGCCCTTCCAGCCCTTCAAGCTCCTTGGATGCAGCACATTTCGAAGGAAAGAGTGCGCAATGCAAACAAAAAAGCGCTGTCTTTAAATCCCGTTGGTGACCTGCCAGCACCCATTGTACTTGTCATCTCTTTCGCTGGTAATGGTTGTGTTGCAATATTCAACTCCTCAGTGCAGAGTGCCAGTAGCCACAAAGTGTACGCATAAAAACCCCCAGCGATTGTCAAGTCATTTTCATTTTCATTTGCTATCCTCACAAGTTTCATCCCATGTTCTAACATCATGCCCAGTAAGAAATCCAGAGCTCAGTGATCACATGACTATACCATATTTTGGCTCTGACTGGATTCCTTCATGACACGAACCGCTACAAAATATCATCAGAATGGATTGCTACCTACCGAATTGCATGTGCTCTTCTCGCACATTCAAAAAGACGTACCCAAGCATGAAATCACGATGGTGTTTGCACGGGCGAAAAATCGCTAACTTTAGATGCCCCTAAATACCGTCAGCAATGGTCTCAAAACTTTTGTTACGTTTATTACCATGCGTTGGCCAAGCGTTCGAAATTAATTTGACCGGATATGCCAAAAAAGGCAGGTATAGGTGTCTAGTTAGGCATACATATGAATGCAACGCATTTAACTCACATACAATGCATATGTAGATAAGTATACAACGATGTATGCGGCATTTCTTTTAATAATGTGATCGTGTGAGCTTCAAATAATTTGATGTGTTATAAATCTGACATTTAGCTCCCAAACAGGAGAACATAGGTCAAACAGAAAATAAGGAAACCATCAGAACGACTTATCGGTCAAAGCCCGCTGAGAATACAATTATCTGATATTTGCTTACGCGCTAAATGGGATATTTCTGGCAAGTGGCACAAACATGAGTCATGAGTGGCTCCACACGACACGCCTGCTGTCACGCGTATCGAGATTGCCTCCTCTCGGGCCGGATATTGAACGCACTGTCAGGAACTACAGGGAAATCGACCGGGGCGAGCATGACATGCGGCGCAGTCTCCTGATAGGTCCGGTAATTTCCTTTCATCTTCAGCGTAAGCGGATGCACGATAACCATCTCAAATATTACACTGAAAATTGGAGCGCGCATAAGTGTGGGATGGTAAGAGTATCACCCAATATGTGAATACATTATTGGGCGGAAATGAGATCAATATGGCGACTCAAATTTTTTGGACGTCTGACAGCTCAGATTTTCTTGCGGCTAAGAGCATGGGACGCAATTAATTCTGAAAAACCTTCTGTCATGCTTTGGATGCGTTAAACATTTCGATGATTAAATCGTATTTTTATTTCCCTGTGCTTTCCCACCATCTCAGCCGTGAAACTACTAGTGATTTGATGGAAATACCATTTCCTAAAACAACATATCGGCAAATATGGTGTTTGATACAGACAAACTTAACGCCCAAATGCCTTAAGGCTTCTAAATCAATACATTGGGCTGAAAAATGATTGCGGTGGTTTAATATTCGGCACCTCGCATTACATGCTTCAAAAACCACAAACGATTTCATCGAGACGGGAACTGTCCAAGCTCCATTTACAACGACGTTACATATTCGGGTAACATTCGGAAGTATCTGGTTCTCGATCCGGTTTGGTACATGTCGTTTTATGCAACGAAATGGAAGGCTTGGGACAGGTGTTTCAGGCGTATGCCTCTACAATTACTTCCCAAGTTGAATGTAAGTTCAATATCTTGGTCCTGGGCTCGTTTCACGCCCGTGAAAACTGTGACAAAATCTATTGGATGGGAGCAAAGCTGGCCGATGAACCATAATTCGTCACGCACGTATGTATGTATTTATGTACATTTTTATGGCATACCTTACGTTCTGTTGGTACACCAGGACTATTATACGGCTAGATACGACTACTGGCTGGTCTGGGCTGTTACTGGCCAGCTGGTAGGACAATATGCATTATTCCGCTGCACATAATGCATATTTTAAAATCTGCAGGCTCACCGTTCTCATATTTCCTTTTCTCCATGTCAGGCTAGTTCGGAGACTCCTTTCCAAACACTGGTCCGTAATCAACATCTCCGTCGTGTTCCGTGAGTCCTTTTTAGATAATGGTAACTTCCTCGTAGCACCGGATCATACGTTTTCCGCCCCCCCCCCCCCGGCTCTTTTTGCTCAAGGAAGCCTCTTTGGGGACTCGGAGCCCCATTTTTCTCGGAATCTTTTAAGAGGTCATGGTTTTTCGCAAGGTCGTCAGCTCCACTACGAGCGGAAATGAGAGGTCCCGCAGTATCGTCAGCACGATCAGCCGTGGAACGGTCTGTGGATCAGTCCGGATAAGGGCCGCAGGATAACGGGCCGCAGCGTCCATCGTCATCGGCAGTCGTCAATAGCCGTAGTTGTAGACAATTTGGATATTCTGCAGACTGATGGAGCTATGGGGCTGATGAAGCAGTTATGTTGGCAGAATCTGGCACGTAGGTTTTTGATTCAAGATTTACCTTCGCTTTCTTTGCATCATTAAGCGCGTTTGTTTTGGCCTGTAGGATATGACCGTAGATGGACTGTGTTGCACATTGTCACATAATTATTTCAGAAAAATTATTCGCAAAAAATTCACACTTTTGTTTGACGGACAAAAATACAAGGCAGTGACTACCTCTCGAAGATTTTGCAACTAAACTGGAACTGAACAACGTTTTATCTGAATATGCACGATTACTGCCCAGCCCAGTGACGTTAATTGAACTCTTAGTACGCAACAATGTGATATTTTTCAGAGGCGATTGTCCTTCCTTATTATATGGCATCTATGCTTATTAGCATTAAATATTACTTAAAGTTTCTCTGGGCCAGGCATAAAGATGAAGTCAGCTTCTGCTTCGTCTTCAGCTTTGCGGAATCGCAGTTTGTTTCAGTTAGCTCTTGGTTTGCTTTCGGCTTTGAACCATTTTCTATCGCTGGCATTGGCTTTGGTCTCGTCTTAACTTTATTACAACGATTGGCTTCAGCTTCGGCCTCGGGTCTGTGTCTTGTCGGACGGCCGGCTTTGGCGTCGGTTTCGGTCTCAAACATTTCATAATTGTGGCTCCGTCTCCGGCTGCGCGCGAACTTAAACTGCTGACTTCAACTTCCTCATTGTGTTTTTTCATTGGATTCAACGCTGTAAGTGGCGAAAACAGCTTTCCTCGCCCTATCCTTAACAAACCACACGAGTTTTCGATGTTTTTTTAGAGCACTTCGCGGATTGGATGCATCGACGGATTGAGGATCAATCTAAGGAGCGAACCTGGCTTTCAAACTTATCAACTCACATGGTTTAAACGGACTGAGAGCGAATCAAACGGAAATTTTCACCAAACAGTTCCCCAAATGTTCAATAAAGATACTAACCAAGAAAAAATTATTTAAACCAATAAAATGTATCGTTTTCAATAACAGGCAATGCACGCGCCGGCAATATAGAACACGACTCACAGTCCACAAGCAAGTCATTTGATGAAAGGATTATTTTGACAACTTGATATGCATGAGTTACACTTAGATATGCTGCTATGGAAGACAAGCGCCCCCGTTCCTTAAAAGGTAATTAAATTATCCAATTATCTAACACCCTATCATATCATAACATAGATAATATTCCTCCTGATCTTGTCATCAATCATATTTAACCCTTGTGGATGACACCGCATCTTTGAGTTCAAAAGCAGGACAGGATAATGTTTTGTTGGTTGAAAGCCCACTATGGAGTTTTGAAATACAAGGTTCGGTCTGAAAAGGTCAGAAAAGCGAGCTTCCTGGTAACATTATAATTTCTGTTCACCTAGTCAGTCAGCAAAATTAATGAGCTTAACATCAGCTTAAAATTAAGCGTGCTGCCTCAACTGATCCATTTTCAGGCCCCTGCTAGAACAAAGATTGTTGCATTCTCATAATTATTTATCTACCCACACCACTCCCCAGTTCTTATATATATATATATATATATATATATATATATATATATATATATATATATACATATATATATATATATATATATATATATATATATATCAAAGAAGCATTTTGGAGCATGCATGTCCTGTACAACCATGGACCACATGTAACTTTCTCACCAAAAGTGAGTTAGGTACTCTTTACATCCAGCAAAAAACTTTGGTATTTGGTAGATACTTTTTTATTTGTGTCACGTCTATTCTACTCCCAATCGCATAAATGTGCCCAATTGGACGGTTGCAATGCATTTTCATACCTGTGGTTCTTCTGCAATGGTTTAGGAGGTCCAACACACTTTACACGAAGTCAGGAAATTAACATAAATAAACATACCACCCATTCCTTTATTCCGCAGGTGAGTACCATCCAATAATACTACAAATAAAGATTTCGTAATGTTTGGAAGAGCTTGTGGGACCATCCGAGCTCATGGAAAGTAGCTGGCGTGTATATGAGATACTAAAGCACCAGCGGTCATGATAGATGTTGGATGATGGGCGACAAGTATGTGCCAAACTCTCTTAGCACGATTTGTTTATAAATATGGGAGGATTCTATATTCGTATCTAAAGCACTCACGGCGGACAAGATACGTTACATACTTTGATTGAAACGCTGCCCATTCGGTTCAAAATTACATAAGCTGTGTAGTGCGTTTGCGAAGAACATTATTTACCTAGATAAGAGAGAAGTAATAGCCTTATTCCTCGGAAAAAGACCAGAACAATGGATATATATGTATACCCATATATATATATATATATATATATATATATATATATATATATATATATATATATGAGTTTATATTTCGGCAGCATGCCTTTATCGAAACAATAGCAGAAGTCATTGCACCACTTCTGTACATTCAATTTAATCTTAAGTGACCCATTCCACTTACATCCAATTCGCATCACTTCTGCTATTGTTTCGATAAAGGCACGTTGCCGAAACATCAATCCATCTGTATCTTCATTCTTCTGGTTTTTCTCCGAGGAATAAGGCTATTACTACTGTCTTATCTGTGAATAGCTGCTCCTTTTCCTAAAACGTTCATAGCCGCTCTATTAGCGCGTTGAAAACAAAATAATGCATGCAAAGCTGAGTACTTTTGTCCAAATACACGGACCAAATTTATTTTTGACTGCGTAAATGGCACTTCATCTAACTGCGTAATGTATGATTACAAGTACAAATAGCTTTGGCATTTTACCAGTATGAGCAGAAAAGGGTGATTTGGTAGACTCTTACATTTTTGCGACATAGTTCAAAAATGACGCAACTGTTTCATTCCTCTGAATAAAAGAGCAGTTACCGCGGGCAGTGGACAGTCGCACAAGTGAATTATGACGTTAACGCAGCTGCTAATCTAACAGGAAATAATGGTTGCAATGATGCACACATGAAATAATGTATATGCAATGAGATATGCGTTCTTGTGGTTCACAAGGCACACTAGATGAGCGTCGTCCTGCGCTTGTAAACTTGGCGCTGCTGAAACTGTGAAGTAGCATTTGTAGGTATTCTGTACCTAACCTCGAGTCTGGAAATGTTAGATAATGCTCTCGTGCCTTTGGCGTATTGAAACCAGGAGTGACTTTGGGTCCTTGGATGTGGTGGTAGTTTTAAGCTGTTACCAAATATGTGTGACATGATAAATAATACGGTGAGCCTTGGTTGTTCTGATCTCCAAGCAAAAGTGCATTCCCAACAGGCGGCAAGGTGGGTTAAGTATCTCAGCACCCACTGGCTTACGACAACTTAGCGTGCATTTTTTCCAATGAAAATCCACAAATTTCTTGAACATAAGGTAATGGGGAAACAGGAATCGTCATCTAATTTTAACAATGCTTAAGGTGGAAGCGGATTAGCACGGATCTATCTCATACATTTGTCTGGTAAGGCGAACTGGAACGGATTGGAATGAGAAATCTTGAGAAAAGCAGATTGACAGGGGGATTGGATCTGGACTAACCAGACTGGACTGGACCGGACCCTGAAAATTCAATCCATCAAGTGCTCGAACGGGTAGGGCACAGTTTTTCCATGGCGTAACAAGAAGCAAGTCATTCTCTCATGACCAATTAACACCTGATGTCAGCCAAAGACCTAATTTCCCCAAAGTTCCGTACATGCTAACGCGCACGGAGAGGACGATTCTCCGAGATATCTTCCATCCGTGGCGCCATGACCTCCTCACATTCTCTCGGAAACCCAACGCGATGTTTTCTTATTCTACAGTTTTGGCAGATGCATAAATAATTTCGATGCCGCAAAAGAACATTGCACGAAGATTAAGCCCTGGCTTGCCTTCGCCGTCGGGGTTCGGGTTCGTGACTGACGGGCTCATCCCTGGTTTTGTGTTTTCTAGGTTCCAAACCCCTGACTTCGGCAACCGCTCTGCGTGTACAAAGTTCAGGGCCACTCGCATTCGTCTTGAAATACGTAGCAAATGGTTTCGGACTTGGCTTCCCAGATGTAAACTTCAAAGCCACCAGGTTCGGCTTCGACTTTGGTTTCATGTTAGTGTCTTAACTTGTTAGTGCTTGTTGTAAGTGTCTTAGCTTGTCATGCTAGCTTACATGCCGCCTTGAAATCAGAAACTTGGATTCTCCCCCTGTCTGCTATCAGTGCTTCATGGTCTCTTTCAAGTTTTGACCTCATTGTCAAGAGCAATATATTACTGTGAAGTAATGCGATCCCTGCTACAAGCCAATGACACCATTTGCAACCACGCAGCCAAAGATTGGATTATACTGTCATGCTCCAAGGGCCGCTATGAGATTCTGGTTGCCATTTCTAAGCGGCATAGAGCAGTGTTACCGAAACTTCCCAAGAGATGGAGGCGAGGACACTCCCACTTTCCAGGTAAATTTTGTCCATGTATCACAATAATGCTAATGTTTGGTTCTGAGAACCGGGACCAGCGCCTCCAAGCCCCCCCCCCCCCCCCCCCCCCTGCTATTTGCACTCCCATGGCTCCGGTGGCATCGGCATTTACACGGGATCCCTTTTCACACCCAAGAAGCGAGTGTTTCAGCTCAAAATTCTTTGTTTTTGACCAGCGTGTCTGTCTTACACAAAGCGAGGCGTTGTAAAGTTTATGGTTGCAAGGGCTGGCGACCTCCAGGGCAGGTTGACCCCTTGAGGCTCATCTGGACTGTCCCTGCGAGCGTCACACGGGTCGGAGTGCGTGGTAACTGCTGCTTGATGCTGACCGGACTGCATGGTGAAGACGATGAATGAGGCTGTCATGACCCAGGTGGCGTCATCCCAGCTCATGTTCTGGTCTTCCTCGCTGCGCGGCATGTAGGTCGTGTTGGTCATGTTCGCCATGTCCATCTCCGTCACCACTTCTGTCGGCAAATAGGACAGCATGCCATTAGACTAACTGATTAGAGAGGTCAGAAGTGGCAGGGGGATGTCGTTTAGCTCTGGTGAAATTTCACACTGGCGCTACGATGCTGCTTGCAGAAAGAACTTAAACGGGAACAGCGATTGCCCTGCCGTCCCAATGAGATGGCTCGCATGAGCCTTGCCGCTTGCCTTACCATGAAGCCGAGCTTTCACAAGCTTCGTACAGAATGGTGACGTCACGGGTGCCGAGACGTCAATGCAACGCGGTCGCTAGCCGTGGGGCGTCAGGCCGCAGGGCAGCCAAAACATCGGAAATCCTCGTACAGATAATGAGCAAACTGTTGGCCTGTTGGGAGATGGATATGACTAGCAACCTGATCACGTAGAATTTAATGGCGCATACCATGATACGCTTTGCAGGCCTACACCCCTAGCCATTAGGCAAAATGCAAAGGCATGAAAAGTGTAAACAGAGACACGGTAATTAGACAAGATGGGACGGCCGGAGCATCGGACTTTCTTCACATCGATCATGAACGAGATGTTAGCGGCAAGCGCATATGACCAGCGAGCCAATCGAATAAACTCTAACGCCGAACATTATGATGTGTTTTGCAAACTTATGCGGCCAACTATTACTATCAAATCGGCGTGAAAATTGAAAACTCTTACGCGAGAACTGCTGCGGAGATGAATGGCTGGGATATCGGGATGCCTTCGTACCAAAAATAAACAAGCTGTTAAGGGAAGGTGCACATATCCAGTGGACTGAATGCGCGGAAGTCAATAGGGAATATGATGCGTCAACTTTAAGTGCACACGCCGCGCTATAAAACGGAATCAGCGTTTAAAGCGAAAACGTGCGCGTGCGGGCTATTGGAGATATGCGGCCAGGAATTCGGTCTGTCCTCTTACCTTAAGTAAACTATCACTGGTGTGTGCGTGTATCCGCAAACTGCTCAGGTGAAATTAAATGGCAAGCAAGATCATATGCTTTGCGAGCTTACATTCAGCAAAGCCTTAGGATTCAACTGGCGTGGGAAGTGAATACGCCTAGGCAGGGACGCTGGTATTAGGGTTGAGTTTAAGTCCCCAAGTTTCTTAAAATTTAGCATTTACCCCATGGTACTCGACTCGGAAAAAACAACCAAAACGGCTATCTCCCCAAATTAGGAGAGCTTCCGCCTGCCCCTACACGGGGCCGGCTGACATCCTCGCTGAACGCTGATGGGAAATTTTGAGGTTAAGTAGCGCGTTGTCACGGGAAGCTGTATTAAACAGGAAAAGTCCGTCTTGTGTTACGAAGCACAAATGCTCCCGCGAAAGGCCGAGCAGGCATCGGCCGGCGTTAAGAGACGGCAAGCCATGAACCATGTTCACACAAACACGCGCGCTGCCCATTGTTTGGACCTGCTGCCCAATTGTTTTACCCATTTTACCCCTTTACTCTTGCTTGTTGTCCAAACAAACTATAATCACGAGTTGAGTAAATACACTTATTGGAGTCCACTGCTACTTACATTAAACATACAAATATCCATCATTTGTGCCATTTATACTCTTCTGCCTGATAAGAAAGTTACCACAGATGCATATCCTGCTCTGCACCTCCGGTCTGGCTATCCATAATTCTACTCGCGTACCACTTTCACACACATACACACACACACACACACACTCATACGTATATATATATATATATATATATATATATATACACATGTATGTATATATGTGTATATATATATATATATATATATATATACACATGTGTATATATATATATATATATATACATATATACATAATATAAGCAGGCACATAGGGACCGAGCACTGTCGGCCCCGCACACAGATGCCGACCGAGCACGTCGGAATGTAGGTAGGCATGGACCTAGCACGACCAGCCCCGTAGGCAGGAACAGGCCAAGCACAGCGGAATGTAAATAGGTACGGACCGAGCAAGACGCATCTGGTACATCCAAGCAAAAATTAGCTGTAGCGGACAACAGACTCGCCACGCTCATCACTCGTTTGCATCACCAGAGACGGCAAGACCACGAGTGCAAAGCTGTGTAAGATCGAAGTGCATTGTTATGGCTTGCGCTGAATGCCGTTGTCCCATATTTGCGACGTGTACCAAAAACTTACTCTGCTGAAAGCTCAGGACCAGCCACGGCTAACAACAAAACTGGGTAGTACCACTGCAGCGCCACCAAGCTATAGCAGTTATGTACATTTTATTTATTTTCGAGTCAGATTCAGCCGTCGTCATGACGACGGCAGATTCTGATGGGTGGCCGCTGTCAGCTGTTACCATATGACCAGGGCTACTGTGTGTGACCACAGTACAAACGAACATTTGTGATGACCACAACGGGCGGCAAGGACCAGCTAGCAAGAAGAGCATTGGTTGAAGTTCGAAACAGTGCGTCACTATAGAATATATAGAACGTGATGCTTCGTTTCACAAAGCCAAAGGCGCTTCGAAAAGAGCCACCGTAGTAAACGCTATAGGGAAGATATTATAGCTATAGCATAACGTTCGTCAAATGCCCGGGGATAAAAACTTCCCATTCGCATATATTCTTTTCTTAACAGACTGCTTCAAGCTTTCGCAGCATTTATTACACAGACTTTGTGACAAATTAGTGCATTACAAACATTACAGAATACACGCGTTTAAACAAGCAAAACAAATGAAATCTATTACGTTCATGGTAGTGAGCAAGGTGCCCGATGAGACATTTCCCGCAGGAATGGCTACTTCAAAAAAAAATTTTAGGCTATCCAGAAGGATTTTGAGAAAACTGGCATTCCTGACCAAATCTGCGCGTCTGATCTAACAATAAGCGAAATGTACAAAAGGGTGGCACACTCCCGTTAAGGTTGCTACGTACATCATACTCCGTTCTAAGTTTTACGCAATTCGCCCGCTGGTTATAGGCATCTGCCACAAACAATTTGTTCGGTATCGGCACAAAGACAGACCGATGTTCCTTCTACCGTATGGCAAATAAGTACAGTGCATACGTCTTCACTTCAGCTGATTGCATTTAAATGGTTTGCCGCGTAGGCTTGCAAACCAAAACATCATTTTCTTTCATACAATTCTACGTAAGCGGCTCGCTGGTCTTATGCATCTCCTGCTAACGTTTACGCCCGACGCCTAGAAGCCCGCCGCACTCTGAAGTCTCGACACTAGTGACATCACGTTAACGTTAAGTGAAGATGAAGCGAAAATTACCGGATGGTTTTATTCCTCTTATTCGGTTTTGCTACTGCCCCGTTTGTCACTGCACTCAATGTGGAAGCTTTGGATTTCATTAAGCGCGGCGTAAGCCGTACACGGTCCGCACAGTTATCGTTTGCCCCATTCACCCGACGAAGGTGTGCTCTTCGCATTTGACGTACAGGATGAACGCGCGGTTCCTTTCAGAAGAAAGGTAGCAAGATCAATTTTTACAGAACATTCTGATGTTTCCTGGTTTTGCCCGTTCATTTTTCATCCACTCGTTTGACAAGCTGAAATCTAACAGATCGTGCTGCACTTGTTAGAAAGTGGTCGTTGATAATCATGAATTCATCTATCTGTTATCAGCCTGCAAAAAAGGCATTACTTTGGTCAGCTGCTTGTGTACTTTGACGTGAAAATGCTTAACTTCTTTACCTCGAACTGAATAATGAATAGATAATCCTAAACCCTTTCTTTTGTCATATTAGTGAAAAATGTAACACTTGTACCCAATAATTTAAAGCCACCAATTTCAGCAGAATTCGTATGTTTCATTCGGAATCAGCTCCGTGTTATATCTGCACCGGGAATTCACGCTGTCAACACCTTTCCATCGTGACACGATAGATGGAAGATAAAAGGTAGGACAAAATCCTGCATCTATTTTGAATTAAAGCTGAATGTTTCCAATGACTTCAAAGCTAATTCTTTCAAGAGTTAGACGAATAAACGTGCAACGTCAGAAATGGACGTCGTCCCATCTAAATCGGAGTGGCAGAACAATTTCTTATTCGACCCAGGTCAAGATCCAACTTTGGGAGTGTCTTTTCACAACAGCTCGTGCTGGTGTCTCTCCACACATATTCGGCGCGGCGATGATACCCGATGTCACGCAGTAATCATACCGTAGTCATGCCGACAGACATACCTCTCAGTTTCCGAAGGTACAATATTATTCGTGTGTGCTATTTTTTTTTTGCCGTGGGCGAAAACAAAAATAGGGAAGGCCCAGTAAACGCTGAGGGGCTAGCGCGTCGGCCTCCCACGCGGGGCCTGGGTTCCAATCCCGGTTACGCCATGGCCTCGTGCGTTGATATCCTCACTCAAGTCGCTAGTGCTGCATAAAAGGGACGCGGCAACGTACGTCGCGTTCTTTTTTTAAAGAAATTCGGTTAGCGAGTCGCGCTGACGCATCATCTCCTGACGAGTGTAGACAATGTGGCCGCACAACCAAACAAAGCTGCACGACTGGGCGCCAGGCTAATGCAAAATTACGAAGCAGCAATCTACAAGAATCGCCACCTGAAAATACCTGCATGTGCCAAGCGCTGTCGTAGAGTGAACAGAAAGTACAGGACTTGGATTTCGCACATCATTAGGAACACACTCCGCAAGTAGTTATGAAATGCAACAAAAGGAATCGACTTTGCAATGATGGAGATACATACGGCAGATAATCTGAACATTTCGCGCATGCATACACATTGCACCACAGCTATGGTTCAGGTATATCTCATTATTTTGTAGTATGTTATCACTATTTATTATTTTTCATTATATTATCATATGTTTATGACTATTTATTATTTCATAACTACTTATTTTTTCATAACTCACCTATTGTATTTGATTAAGATGTCTTATTTTATCATTATATTATTATATTTCACTATTATTTATTATTTCATTGTCACATATACAGTTCTGCATTGTCAGCTGCTGGATGACGGGGAGTGCAGCACCTACCATGACCAAATGACAAATA